AATTTTTTATTTTTGATAATAATTATTACTAACTATTATTAACTATTATTTAATTGTTAAAACTTTTTGTTTCAAGAAATGTTGGTCTGAAATCAACAAATTGTGCTCTCACTGCGGTCATGCAATTTTGTAATTACTCATTTGATTTTAGACCAAATGCACATCCCTCAAATTGAACTCACAGGTTTAATTACAATCACCATTATATAGAAATCAAAAGCGAGGCCAAGTCATTGGTGGGCTATAAACCCTAAGCCACCTAGCATGCTGGTCGTTGACTAGATCTTTGTTTTATTGTTCTTATAATCCGGCCATAATGACTTTATATTTTTATCATTTTACAGAAATTCTTGGTACAAACAGGAGGGCACCAAGGTGGATGGGATGATTATGACAATCAGCTATTCCTAAAACTAAAGGCTAAGTACAAGGTGTTTAAACCTGCTGTGATTATTAGTCTTTAGAATAGAAGGATTCAATCATGTTATAGAAATATGATAAGCATGATAAGAATCTCAGGAGACTCTAATTATTACCCAAAACAAACACCTCAGTACCATTTGAAGTTGATTAATGCAAGCATTTTTTTAAAAACTGTAAGTTGCATGGGATTTTCAAACGGGATCAGAATGAAAGGTCCAAAGCATACAGAAGTATGAGTATATGGCACAGCCTAAAAATGGTCTCAAGTAAATATCAAACATACAGTACCTGAAATCCAAATAACATGTCACATAAGTAGGAGTTTCTTTTATAATGAAGAAATAGAAAATGCGCGGGGTTTTGTATGGAGTTATAAAGCACGCAGGGGTTGACAGAACACGAGGGAACTGTTAGGAGAAGCACCACACATAACGGAGTGCTTCTCAACGCTTTTCGAGTGTTATGTCAATATCCAAGTGCTTTATAATTCTACAAGGTGCTGTGTGCTCTTATAATGCACGCGCTCCTAACCAATCAGAACGCGAGATTCATAACAGGTATTTTATAACAGTAATGTAAGAAATTTATTCCTTCTATAGAACAATGAGACCTTTCTGCGGATGGCAGGATCAGCAATTCCTGGGAAGAATTTTGATGAAGTCCGACAGCATAATGAATGGTTTATTCAATACCTAGAGCTGAAGGAAAGCAAGAGGAAAGCTATTCTTGAATGGAAGCAAAATAAAAAGGTTGAGAACTGAGTGAAATGAGGGAAAAGGAATTTCATTTAGAAAATATTTTAAAGACAGAATAATCGTTCTTTCTTGAGGTTTTGGGAATTTGATTCATATTGTTTTGAAGTTTTGCTCTCAAAGTGTTGAAATCAAGTTGTGTGTTTTATATGTTAATCAGGAAGAAAAAGATGACTCGTTTATGAAAACAGAAGAGACGGAAGAAGATGATCAGATTAAAAAAAAGAATGAAAAGCTAGAAAACGAACGTGCTGAACGTTTATCTAAACTCGCTGAGTACAAAGTAAGTTAAACATGATAGTGAATTCAACATTTGATTTAAAGATCCCTAAACAAACGAATTAGCAACAACTTGGGGGTCCATGGATGTCTTGCTAGCTACTCCCCATCTATATGCAAATCACATAGTCATTTACTAAATCTAAAAAAAGTTTCTTTTCAAATTGTACGGATCTCAGCTTTATTCAACCAACGCCTCGTACGTTCACTTGACAATTAACTTTCTGCTCATATTTAGGCACAGAAAGAATTAGAGAAGGCTAAATTACAGGAACAACAATTCCAAGAAGAAATGAATAAGATGAAAGAAAGAGAGAAAGAAGAGAAAAAAAGAGTAAGAACACGCAATCCTTCTACAGGTTTAGTTACATTTATTATAAGGATCAAAGCTTGTTTGCATCTATATATTTGACTTACTAGTTGGATTTGACTATGACAATTAGTCCTTTCGCCCTCATGCCCTATGAGTCAGTAACCTATTCAGCCTTCGGTCTCATGGGCTATGAGTCAATAACCTATTCAGCCTTCTATCTCATGGGCAATGAGTCAATAACCTATTCAGCCTCCGGTCTCATGGGCTATTGACTCATAGCCTATTAGGGCTCGAGGACTAATAGCTAAATTGGCTAACCAGTCCCCCGTTTGTACAGAAACATTATCTCAGGCTCTTCACTCTCCAGCCAACTAATAGTGCCCATAGATTTCAAAAACAGGTTTTAGTGCGGTGCCGTTTTGGATATCTCTGGCTGAGTGGCTCACTCTTTGCAAAACTAGAAATAAAAATTTGCTTCAAAACTGAGCCTCGTTTGGCCATATCAGCATATACACTAATACAATTTAGTGAATTTCACTGTAATCATTTGTAAGATCAGATAGCGTCTACACAGTGTAAACACAACGGAGACGCAATCGTTGCCAAAAGTAAAAAAAGCTATACTTTTTGCAACAAGTGCTGCAAATTGTCTCGCAACATGTTTTCAAATAGCGCTGTATGTCACACGCTGCGATGCTCCATGCAACTTGTCTCACAACGATGAAATAAAGAAAGTTGATGGGAAAAAAAAAATCTTGTCTCACAACGGCGTTGCGACACTGGCTGCAGAAAAAATTGCTCCCTGTAATCGCGCCTCAAGAGTAAAATTTGACCGACTTATCAATTCCTCATACTGCTTTCCTTTTAGTTGTTTTTTGTTTTTTGTTTGGGGGAGGGGGAGGGGAGGGAGGAGATATCGGTCTTAAAACTGTCAGAATCGTAAAAACTTGCCTAATATTAAAATCTACTAGTTGTAAAATACTGATAATCAGTTTATTCTCGCGAATGCGGCTGATAATCAATGTAAGTCCTGTTGGGGAGGAGGCTTATTCAGGTAAGGGGTAAGGAATAGTGGTTGTCCCCTGGGTGTCCCCCTGCGTTGTACAAGAGTAAGATTTCTCTAACTTATCAACTTGTAGTTTTTATCGTACTATGTACAAGCTTTCTGCGTCCAAATTAAAAATGCAGGCTTTTAAGTGCAGATGTAATAGCATATTATATAGGTTTGTGCACAGCCTGTTTGACATGTCTCCTTTGCTTTTAACTGCTGGTACTGCCTTTTTTCCAATTGTAGCTGGAATTGAAAGCACAAGTTGAAGAGTATGCTCGCTGTCGAGCTGAAGAGGAAAAAGTTATGCGAGAAGCAGAGGAGGCTAGGAAAGCACAACTAAGAAAGGAAAGTAAACCAAGCACCGAAGAAATCAACCGGATAAGAGAAAGAGTAAGAAAAGTCACAGAAAACAATTTGCAGCACTTTTACACTATACACATCAGTAGATTTACTTTTTCAATTTTCACTTCAAGAATAGTTAGGCACTGATGGCTATATCATGGATGGGCTTTCACTAATACAAAGTTTTGTTTTCAGGTAAACTGTATAACTCCTCAACCAACATTCCTTTGTCCTTCTTATTGTTTTCATTCAGAATACCAAAATACTTAAAGAAAAACAAGCGGTGATAAAAGCAAAAGAGGAAGAAATCAAGGAAAAAGAAAGACGACTTCGAAAATTGAAAAGTCAAGTGAGTGGATAGCAATAACAACCAGTCAATTGATCTCGTAATAGACCTTCTTTATCTTGGCCGTAATATTTTCCTATTTCAGACCACGTGTCATTCCCTAGAGAATAATATTCTTCGTTTGAGTTGTATCCATATTCTACCTGCCTGCCTGCCTGCCTGCCTGCCTCTTCTCCACACCCCACTGGGCCACTACGCAGGCTAACTACAACAGGGCTGTGCTTTCGATATTCTTCTTGCTTATCACCATGTTTTACTGTCAATGCTCAAGTTCGTCATGATAACAATGTTTAAACATTTAAACATTTATCTTTCTAAGAGCTTGCCTAACACTTCCCTAATTTCGGACGATACTTGTGTCACTAGGTGGAGGTGAAAGCGGAACGAGACCCATCTCGTCTTTACAAACTAACACGTGGTTTAGAAGAAAGAAGGAAAGAATCAAAAGATGGTTCGGGGGCCAAGGGGCCAATGCTGCACATGCCACACAGGTACTAACTTGCCGATGAAAATGTTTGCTATACGTTTTGCTATGCTATCACGTGTGAGTAGAGTAGTATAGGGAATGGGGGTTCCAGCGCAATCTCGACACGGGGTAAGACCCGCGTCAAAAATCCACCTACGGACGACCCCCACTCCAAGTGTGGTTGAGGGCAACAGCGCACT